AACTCGTCCTCTACCTGGTTTTGATTACAATAACGGCATAACCTATTCGGCCTCGAAATATTACGATACCGACCTTCTTCTACATATAACTGATGCGATGAAAGTCATAATTTCGAAATAAGTTTAAGATAACCATCTGGAATAGACTTTGTTAGATAAATTGTAACGTAAAGTTATCTATCGGGAATCTATACAAATAACATTTGGATGATCTTTCAGCAAATTCATTCCTTGATTGAATAAAAACATCTGTCAAACGCTACTTAAAACAATGTAAAAATACCCTTTCATTATCAACATAATGAGTTAACCAGACATTACCAAAACCAGAAAACAATAATAATTTTCTAACTTGACAGCGCCAATTACAGTTTCTGTGATTACATTCATCCATATCTTCATAAACTGACTTAAGAACACAATTGTCGCATTTAATTAGTTTCAACCAATATTTGATTATTCGACACTTCCTGATGATATGCAAAGACAGACTCCTAATTCCGAATATACCATAAAAGATGGCGTACTGTTTTTATACACTCAGAATTCTTTTAAAAAAAATCAACATGCACTTTTTCTACTTTGTCCGCAATATTGAAACCCATTGTTTCGCAACCGTAATTAAGAGTGAAGGAAACATAGACATCAAAAACATTAAGTTTAGTTTCTACATTGAGGGACAAATTGTTACAAATTCTTAACGCATTATACATACATTTACGACCTTGTTCAGCAATAGTAACTTGAGTTTTTGTAAACTTTCCATTAAAGCTGAGCAGTACACTAAGGTAGTTAAATTTATCAACAATTTCTATTTCATTATAAGCCAAAATTAAATAATTTAATATCATCAAGTCAGCAGATACAATACATTTTTTTTGCAGTTATGTCCCTTTTACCATACCTGTATTGAATCTTGCCTGAACTCTAAATATAATTTTTTGTCCCTTTTTTGTGAATCTAAGTTGATGTTTCTGTCTGAACTTATTAAAGTTAATTTCCTTATGATATAAATATATTTTGTCCTGAGTATTACCCTCATTTCTCAGTCACCTTTATATGGATGTATTTACTTGCAGTTTAAAGCCGAAAGCACCTTACTTACAATTAATACAGAAGATTATCTTATAATCTTATTCTAAACATAAAGTTTGTTTATTATTGAGCTGCAGTGCAAAAACTAGTTTCTCCTTTTTCTTTCTCTTTCTGTTGACTTTCTCCGTTTTCATTGCTATTTTTTTCCTTCTTCTTTTCTATTCTCTCTCTCTCTCTCTCTCTCTGTGTTCTCATAAAGGCAATATATGTGTACATGGGTACCATTACATGTACTTATGTCTAAATATATCAACTGATGTAAGTAAGAGTAAATATGAGTCGTGTGAGGTCTGAATATATAATATGAATTGTTTGAATGTAAATATACCATATATTGCAAAAAAATCTTGAATAAAAAGAAAATTACATTTTTTTTTTTATCTATTTCATTGCCATTAAAGTAAAAAAAATCGCCAGCTCGTAAATATAACCTTCCGCCATTACGAAATACAACAATTTTTGTTTTTTCCATATTGACTGTCAATTGCCATTTGTCGCTATATTGTTAAGGAGTCTAACATTTTCTGCAAGCCAGAGGCAGATTCTGAGAAAAGGACAGTATCATCTGCATACATAAGAAGAAACAGAGAAATATATCTTAAGAATAAAGCGTCACAGGAAGTATTAATAAGTTCATTTTCAAAATCATTCACATACACGGAGTAAAGGAAGGGAGATAACCCCTCCCCTTGCATCAAGCCTCGTGAGCACGAAAAATATTCAGACTTATATCTCACACAGGACTTTAAACCTTCATATAAGATTTCAAAATATTTAATAATTTTCCTCTGATTCCATTATGAAAAAGTTTCAAAAATAATTTATTTCTATTCACACTATCGAAGGCCTTACGATAGTCAACAAAACAGCAGTAAAGCTTACGACTTTTAGAAAGCATATTCTTATTTATACCATGTTAAGCAAAAATAGCATCTTTAGTTCCAAAACCAGGTTTAAATCCGAATTGGGCATCGGAGACGATGTTGTACTCCTTAGACCAATCTATCAGTCTATTGTTTAAAACACTAGTAAATAATTTAGACAAACAACTTACCAATGTGATTCCTCTATAATTATTTGTATCATTGACATCACCTTTTTTGAACAAAAGGAAAATGATACCCTTGGACCATATTGAAGGAAAGACGCCCATATCAAAAATAACATTAAATAGTTTTGAGAGAATGGGGGCAAATGTCTCCTTTTGTTTGACAAAAAAATCGTTAAGAGTGTTATCAATTCCAGGGGATTTACCTAATTTAGCGCTTTTTAAAACACTCATTACTTACTTATCTGTTATAGGAGAATCTAATTCGTCATAAATCTGTGAATTGTCGTAGTCTGAAGTATTTGGATTATCTGTAGCATCATCGTGGCCACTACTTACAGCTTTAAAATGTTCGAAAAAGTTTCCAAGATTCAAATGGTTTGACGGACAGTCCGACTTTTTCTTAAAATATCGATAAAAAAAATGTTTAGGATTTTTTCTGCGTAACAGACTTATTTACGTTTAACCAACCTTTCATACGCCTTATACTTACGCTTAGATTCGACAAGAGACAACCTGTTGGCAGGGGTTCTGTCGGAATTAAAAGAACATAAACTGCGTCGATACAATTTGTACAGTCGTCTATATTTATCGTCAAACCAGGGTTTATGGGCACGATATTTTAATTTACTGTCAGATGGTGGAGTAGAAAAAGATTGACAACATGGGCTAAATATTTCATTTATAACAGAAGAAAACATATCCATACCCTGATCTACGAGGACAACAGAGGACTGCATGTCATTAACAATATTATGTAATAAATTGATGTTCTCATCTAAATTACTATTCATTTGAGCTTCTTCATCAGCGTTCCATCTATATGTATTTATTGTTAAATTACTTTTAACGTGATTTACAAGATTATCACCACTTGCATGTACTTCAATTGGACTGAATGTTATTTTAAATTTAAAAATAATTGGCGCATGGTCAGACCATTCATTAAAATCTTCAAAGGACAGGTATCAGCGCAGCGTTTGGTCAAGTTTTTTTTTTACCTGAGACCAATCAAATAGCTATCTTCGTGCCTTCAATTTTGCTGACATATTCCAGGGGTGCAGAGAGCGAAAATGAGCGTAACCCCTGGATATCGAGGATGATTAGTACCTGGCGATATTCCCTTTGTCCATTGGAATCGGTCTATTGCCTTAGTCTTCACATGTGAGTCTACAATAGCCAGTCCGCCACCTCAAAACTTTGAGAACACTCTCAAGTATGTAATAAAATTTATCTTTATGACTACAACTCCATAAACGTTAATTGAAAATATAAATAACTTCTATGTTAAGTAATGTGATTTAAATCAGTGGATGAAACGTTGACAATCTAAACTCCAGAAGGTTGAAGAGGAAAGGGGACTAACAAGCAAATTTCGGTGAAAGCGGGGGATAACAATATCAAGAACGTTCTGAGGGATGATTCGTGGTCACGGGACCAAACGAGGCCCTATTTTGAGCTTTTTGAAAATTCAGGAACGTCTGACCATCTAACAAAGTGGGTTTTTTTCAGCGTAGATCTATACCCAAAAACTTTTCTTTTTCTTTCTTAGTTGAGTTCCGTTGCAAACCTACTTAAAATGTTCAACAACAAAAAAACATCTTGTCGTCACATTTTAGTGGTGTGTGATGAACTACTTTATTTATAATTCATATTTATATAGGTTGGTCGGGTGGCGCAGTGGGTAGCGCTAGTGCTTTTAACCAGGACGGCCTTCTAGGATTCGGTTCCTCGATCGGACGAGAAAATGTACGCCGCGGCCGGTTTCCTCCCATATTGAGACCCCTACTACCCGGGGCAACAATAGTGATTAATAGAAGTTGATATAAAACTTTAGGATATTTCCACGATACAAAATAGATTGACCGGTGGTCAGATGCTGGTGCCTTTCGACACCCCCCCCCCCCTCTCTCTCTCCCGATTTATTTATGTGTGTACTTTGTTATATGTGTTTATGAAATTTGCATTGAAATATTTTGTCTGATTTCTTTGTTACATTGATTCTATTTATTTTGAAAATATTCTACCAGGCTGCATGTCATAAAATTTGTATAATTGTAATTCAAATGCGGATGCGGATCCATTTCACAGTTTACACGACGATTTCTTTTCTACGTACCCCCCNCTTCTCCCGTTCCCCAAAAACATATATATATTGAGGAGAGGACTATACATTTTAAGTTGAAAAAAAAATGTTGTCCAATCCATGTGTGCCTTTGTACAATCACGGACTTAGATAACTAATCTAATTCTAATTCTGATTTTTAAAGAAAATTCTCAGGGTGGGGGGTGTCCTGAAGCCCCCAAAAAACCCTCTGCATAAACCACGAAATTATATGTTATCTAAGTCCGTGCATAAACTAACTCCCCCGATCAGACGTGAAAAGGAACGGGATCACTTGGGTTTTCTCCGGCGAAAACATCATCCAGGTGACTGGTCACTCCCCCGTGTATCTTCCTAATGGCAGAATGTTCTTAATTTTTTCATATGCTTTATTTCTAAGCTTGATGTTTAAATTTCATTTATCGTCGAGAGTTGTTGAAAAATAAAAACAAATATTGTATTATTATGGAATGAAAAATTCTTATAAAACGGCTGATAAGAATATTGTCAGTAAATATATATTTTCTTAAAAACGATACGACTAATGTAATGTAGACTAACTATTTATCTAATTCTCTGGATGGTTAGCTTGATGTTGTTCATCGTGCAGATAGCCGGTTCTCGCACTTCCGTTCGCTTCGTCGTTAATGTTTTCATTAAACCAACAATGTTTGTTTGTTTAACTTATAGGTTTATAAATGTTTTTGAAAAAAGGATTGAATGTTTTTATTTGTAAGTTTTACATTCATATTGACTTTGAAAAATACGAAACTATTGAAGCTTTGCTGAATCGCTGAATCTGCATCTTCATCATGACAGCTTTCGAAGGTTCGTCTGTTTATATCATGTTTTTAAGTAATGTTAAGCATTTGTGTGTATTTTGGTTGCTTATGCAAATACTTGATTAACTTTGTAATATGAAAAACTATATAAGTATGCATTTAATTCCCTTTTTTGTGTTAATATCTCAATATTTTATTTGCATGCGTTGAAATCCAATATGGCGGCGCCCATGGCCGGTGAAACGTCGTGAGATTGTTTCAGAAAATTGTGAAATAGTTTAATAAATTTGGGATGACATGTCTGTTAGATTCATTTTTACTAAACATCATTATGTACTATTTCGAACTATGACAGTGGTGGACATTTTATGAAAATAAATATATTACCCATTCATAATCTAATTTGAGAGGGG